GATAGTTAATGCTCGTTAATACCATGCAAAAAACTAGATAGCACCTATAGGATTATAATCCCCAACACCTGAGTAAAAACCCTAAGTCTAACACATTTCCATTTAAGTTCAAAACCCTCATTCCATTCTTGTCGAGTAATTATCTTGCTCAACTAGAATATTTCCTATTTACTGTAATTTACTATTTATATTCATCTAGTTTTATTACTTGATTAGATTTAATAGGTTCCATAGCTCCTTGTGGATTCAATCCCTAAGTACTGCAATAGATCTCTTATTTGAGAGAGTAAGTTGCTCCATATGGTAATTTGAGCACGTAGCAAATTTGGCGCCGTTACCGGGGAGCTTTGATCACCATTAGATTTAGTCTAATAATTCTAGTTTTTTTATCAACGTCTGTGGGCTCATGAATTGATACAAGGTCTGGTCGCTAAGGTGATCACAACACCTATGTATTTCACACAAGGTTACACTTTTCACACTTACGAATATGGAAGTCGTCGAGCAACGGAGAACTATAGAGTATATGTCAAAGGTGAAACAGATTTCTATGGAATCTTACAAGAGTTCATCAAAGTGTAATTCCCGGGTTTAGTGAAGATGAAATGTGTCCTCTTCAAATGACTGGTTCGACCCCACCGTCAATAGAGATGTTCGGTATAACAAGTTTGGAGTTGTAGATATCAATGCTACATGGAGGTACAAAAAATTTGAGCCCTAAATATTGTCATTTCAAGTAGACCAAGTTTTTTTTATTCCTTATTTGAGGATCAGATAATCTGGAATATCTTGGTTAACCGCTATAAAAGTTACACCTCGGGGCCGAGTAGTTAGTGATGAACTACCGCCTTTGCAAGAAGATGCTGTAAATGAAGTGGACGTGCTTAAACAACCTACATATGAAATTTTACTTGTTGATCCGCAAAACTTAGGATATGAAGATCTTTCAGACAATATAGCGGACGAAGCCATCAAAGATGAATTTGAAGAAATCGATGACCCGGATAATGCTTCCAATGACAACGAGTAATAAGATTATGTAGTTTTGGAGTTTGTATTGTATTATTTTCTTCAAATTTTGACATTATGAAGTTAATTTATTTGGAGTTTAGATTATATCCGCAAAAACAAAATTTAATTTAATCAAATTATGAGATTATGAAGTTTATAAATGATATATAACTTATGAAGTTTGGGGTTTCAGTTTTAGGGAATAAATGCGGGTCGACCCTATTTGGTCGTAATGTTACCCTTACTTTACGATGACAATAATAAAAATTGTCCCTATTTCGTCGTAAAGGGAAGTAGACCCAAAATAGTCGTAACTGTACCTCTACTTTACGATGAAATGTACATTTAGTCTCTATTTCGTCGGAAATTTTCCTATAAATATGTTACCCTCCCATCCTAAATATGCACAAAACAAATCTAAAAAAACTTAAAAAATTCCCAAGATATTTGTGAGAATATCTTGGTCAAACGCTCTCAGAGAGAGTTATCCCTAAATAGTCGTAAAACATGGTCCCTAATTCGTTATAATACATTCTAGTCAATATATCGTCGTAATCTGGTACACGTGTCATCCTTAATTGGCTGTAACATGTAGTCCCTGATTCGTCGTAAGACCTTATTCGTCATAATTTCGAAGTAATTAACTTCTAAATTACGAAGACCACCAAATCTCTATATAAACTCGCGAGTAGTCAAAACCATTTTGTTGCTATCTCCTCTTACACTAAAAACCCTTCCCCTCCACTTTCCCTCTCTAAGGTATGCTTTTTTAAGTTTTAGTTTTAGGTTTAGGTGGTTAGTTTAAGATGGAACTAGATTAGGTTTCAAGTCTAGGATGAAATTAGATTAGATTTAGATTTAGTATTAGATTATTTTCTTTATATAAAAGATTTAAATTAATTAATTGTTTATCACCATTTTGTTTAAAGATCGACGATATGGCTTCTGGTAGAAAGAGAATTAGGAATCTTGCGGCCAGCACACCTTCATATGGAGATACATTTCTTGATCGGTCAGATCCATCAACTTCTAGCTCCTCCGACACTACATCCGCCCGGGAATTTGTTTTGAGAGCCAAGAGCAGGGAACATCACCGGATAAGACTCACCCATTATATGTGCCTCCTACTCCGTATGTAGTTCCCGTCAGTATGAGCCTCCTCCATACTATCCTCAGTATGACCCTCCATACCATCCTCCTCGACACCATCCTGATCATCAGGAGCATGCCCCTAATCCTAATCATAATACTGCCCCAGTTCCCGAAGCTGCTCCAGCTCCTCTTCCTGATCTCCATCCGGATTTACTGGTGCCACCGACTGCTCCCTGTGTTAGATTTACGGTGGAAGACCTTCTCCAGATTCCAGAATGAGAAGGTTTAACTATCATCGACCCATATCGACCAGCCAACACTTTCTGGTAATTTTTGATTTTTTTTTCATTATTACAATTATATAGTGATCTAATTTATTTTTAAAATTTTGTAGGTTTGCGATGGACAATCGCGTGGGATGGTGCGCTTCAGGAATAATCAAGGAAAACTTCCGGAAAGCGCACTGGAATCTTACACCAGACCACGTTCAGAGGACTTGGTTCAAGTGTTTTCAATAAGTTTTTATTTATTTATTTAATTAATTCATTTTAAAATTATTGAATATTATTAATTTTTATTTTAATCATTATTTAGTAAAAATTGAATTGGTCTATTCTTGTCAACGAAAAGGTGATGACATTGTTCCACGATAAGGTGAAGTTACGTCTGAAGAACATTGTTGGCGATTGGAAGGAGAAGTGGAGGGTTTTACATGGTGACGCAAAACCCATCTACATTAGTGATCACATTTGGACTGGCTTGAAGGTTTATTGAAATTTGTCTACGTCAGTTCGAAAGTCCCTCCGTTGCTCCACGGCCTGGTTGACGCATGATGCTGAGGAGAATTTGCCATCGCCTTACACTTCCGGGCAGACCCCACACGCTGGAAAAGCTCTAGAAATTGTAAGTACTAGAACTTTTCTTATTTTTCCATTATTACTAAATTGTTTATTGAATGCATGAGTTTAATTTGATTTTTTTTGTAGGCTGCTTGGGAAGGAGCACCACCATCTCTTCCTCGACTTTACAAGATGACGCACCAGCATTTTGATGGGACGTTTGTGGATTCTCGAGTAGAAAGGATCTACAACGATGTGGAGGCTCGGATCAAGGAGATCCAGACCCAGTTGTCGCAACAAGGCAAACCGGTCCAGTTATCCACCGTTGAGTAGGTAAAATATTCAATCTTAATTAATTATAATTATATTTTTATATACATTTTAAGCTTTTAGTTTTATATGTGTACTAATTATTATTCATTTCATTAATTGAATGAAAGTTATCCCAAAAAAAGGGATGGATGATCGAGATTGGTATGGTGAATGATGTCCCAAGGGCGAGAGCTGAATATGCTGCAAGAATAAATGATGAATCTCGGCTTCGGATATGTTTGACGACTGCCAACCAGATCTTCGACGATATCAACCTTAATAATTAGTTTATTTTTATTTAAAATTTGAATATATTTAATTGGACGTCAACTAGTCGTAATGAATTAAACTAAATCAAAGTGAATTGGCCTTAATGTTTACGTCAACAATTAATGTCAAGTCGTCATAAATATTATGATTACTTTAATCTGTTGAATGTCTAATTATTAAGATTACTCACGACCAATGTTTATGACCAATGGACGTTGAAAAGAAATGACGTAACTTTGCGTCTTATTCAACGTCCAATTTACGACTACAAGTGTTATGATTAATTTACGATGAAATCATTTAGTTGTCAAGTTTACTACGACTTTACGTTCAATTGTCCATTACGATGGACACCTAATAACGAATCATTCATCGTCGTTAGATAGTCGTAATTGATAAACTACGACGACATAACGACTAAAACTGCAGTCGTTACCATGTTTTCTTGTAGTGTAAAGTTTGATGACATAATTTAAAAGAATTGTTAAACTAACATAAAAAATGAAAATTGACAACAAAAGATTGGTGACATGATTTATTATAATAAAAGTTTGTATATATGATAATTAATTTAATCAAATGTTTTTTCAAAAAAAAATCAAATGTTATATGCAGCTATGCTACTACGTTTCCATAGAATTGCCTTGCTTCTTACCATTCAAAAGAGAGTTCATCCCTGATTCACTTCTCTGATTAGTGAAATATGTGAATAAGATGTACCACTCTGTGGGTATCTTGACTTCGGAACAAAACCAATTACTAATCCTATGTTCTTCCAATCTTGATGATCTGTCATAGGATCGAGTGGTAACCTTGACCCCGACTAGATGTGCCAGAGGAACCCCTTCTGCTTGAGCTCGCTCCGACTTGTCCCTGGAGGCTGAGTGAAAATCTAGTGCGTAAAATTCAAGTACCAACAATCAACGAGTTGATCATATACTCTTCTATGAATTATACTCTCGGATAGTTCTTGGCGAGGTACTTTTGTAGCCTGGACGACTCACTAACTACAAGGAGCACCTCTCGCCTTCTTTCCAAAGATTCATTCCTTCGTTCACAACAAGAACATACCCATTCTTTGGCTGATCAGGGCTTCTACCTACTTGGTTGAGAACTAAAGGGCTGGATAGTCCAGGACACCCAACGTGTGATTTAATGCATGGTTTTCTTTCCCTCATTACAGTCACCTCTGGGGTTTTTCGCATGTGGAATAGTATCATTTAACAGGTTAATGAGCCATTGTTTTGGATTTTTCTACTCTTATTTGACTTATAATGGAACCCATTTTAAGCCTATTAGTGGGTTAGTCTTTTTGTTATTGTTTTTCTTTTATTTACTTTTATACTATGTAGTTTTAATAAATAAATAAAAAATCGAAATATGAAAGCTCTTTGAAAACTCTCAAACTAAATTAAATATAAAAGCTCAAACGAAAAAAGGGAAAAACAATTCTTGATGACGTAATGGTGAGCTTTGTCATAATCTGCAAATTCCTATGTGATGCAAACGATGTTTTAGTTGCTTTATCTGCAGATCTTGTTTCCCTAACATTGTAAGCAACTCTTCTTTCTCTTTTGCGAGTATGTTAATTTGGTCGATCATATCCTCTCGTTTCATAAAGAAGCCTGGTCTCCGAATATTCTTCAAAAGCTCAGGTTGGCCTCTTACAAAATTGTCATTTTCGTTTGTCTCAGATCCAACTTTTCTAAAGTTCTGCAACAGACAAACAAACAAAAAACAGTACACAAAACTAAATAAATAAAAAACGTAATATGATTCAAACACCAAAATTTTAACCACTAGAAATGATTAAGCATACAAACTCAAACTTACGTAGATGGAAAGTATGTCATTCATCAAGCTTATGAGGCGATCATAAAATCTAGCGCTTCAGGTATACTCGACCTTTGGATTCCAAAACATAACGATCCTGGTAAACTCGATCGGATTCCAAATCATGAAAGTTTGGCTGCTTTGGGTCCACGAGGAAATTGAATGCGTGGCAGGATCATCCACTATATTATATGTTCTCGTGAGGAAAGCTTCATCATTATTCCTTATCCTATCCATCTCTTACGTTCCTGTGTTTTTTTTTTACATATACTCGTTAGAGAAATCGATCAAATGTATATATATTATATAGAACGGAACTAGTCTTGTTTGTTAGAAGAATTGGGAGGACGGGGACTTTTGGATGCTTTTGAATACAATGCCATGTTTTGTAATACAAGCTGAAATATGTGGACAACTGTAACAGTTTTTAGAAATGGAAGTTGACAATTTCGCCAACACATCTATTACGATACTGTATATGGAATTGGAAACTTGGTTTATGCAAACCGAGACGAATGCAAACCGAACCGAATGACCAGGGCTACCCCACACAGTTACACACAACCTTTGTTGTCAATCTATATGGAATTGGAAATTTGCATGAAAGAAACAGATATCACAGTTATTCAGACTAGACAATATTGAATTCATGTTTCACATCTAGATTCAACACTGAATTCATCTTTCATATTTCATTAGGCCCCACCAATCCCAACACCTTCTTCCATGACAGAGGCATTATCCAAAGGTTATTTCCTTCGAACAGAGACGGAAACAAAACTGATGTCTTTAATATTGCGGTGTCTTTTCCTTCGAGCACCAACGTCTTGCTCCCCATAACAAACGTGTATATATGCATCATACTATACCAACAAGTTTCCTGAATGCCTTTACATGCTCAAGCCTCTGTGCTTGAGCCTCTGTCACAGCATCAGCTGCTTTCAACGTTCTGTATAGATTCTTATGAAGCTTAAGATACTCTTTCTTATACATAGCTAAATCATTATACATATCCTTCTCCTTCATGTAACTTATAACCTCCATTACTCTCTCAAAGTACCCACCTCTGAGGAAGTTCACCACAAGCTTCTCTAATAGATCTTGTGTTACCTCCAAGTTTCTGCTCGCCATGTTCCTTTTGATATCTCCCCACGTGACTGTGATCTCTCGGTACATACCAAGAGATGAGTACATGTCGATCAAGATCCAAAAGCTTTGCACAGTTGGTGGGATTTTCATCTTCTGGATTTTCCGGTAGGTTAACACGGCATCTCCTTCCATTTTAGCTTTGCTGAAGTAGTAGAGAGACGAGTTTAGCTCGTAGAGCATGCTTGGAACTTTCATTTGTTCTCCTGCATTGATTTCCTGAATCAGTAGTGCCCTGAGCTCTGTGTTCTCATTGGTTTCTGATAAAACAGAAATCTCATCTGAAGGATCTGTAATTAGACCGGCTTTCGTCATTTGTCTTACAAGAACTTCGGCATTTCTCAACATCTTGCTCTTGTAATAACCCGATAAGACCTTTCTATATGTAGCCAAGTCCATGGGATGGCCAGCAGAATCCATGTCGTCAAGAATATCATGAGAAGCTTCTAACCAACCAATAGCAACACAAGCATCAATAACATCAGCACATAGCTTGGATCCACCCACCGAAAACAACATCTTTGATAGCTCAGGGAGATCACCACGTCTCTTGTAACCATATACTAACTTAGCAAGAGTCTTGTTCGTGATACCAATCTTGGAATCTGCGTAACTGACAAACGTTGCTTCAGTATCCACCCCAAGAGATGAATCTCTCTGCAAAAGCTTCGGTGAAATCTGGATCCTTAAACCGGATTTGATATGGTGAGAACCAACAGACAAAACAAGAGGCTTTTCAGGATTCTGAACTGAAGTCAAATCCTTACTCTTGCATATATCTAACACAAGTCGACCCGCAGAACTAATATCATCAAATTTAAACTCCAAACTTAACAAATTATCAAACAAACCCCGATAGTGACAAAGAAGCTGACTCGGCACATGACCGATACACTCCTTGAGCTTCTTCAACTCATCTCTCATCCCATTCATTTCATAAACGCACGACATTATCACAATCGAATACGCATCCGCAACAACATCGACTTTCGCCATAAGCTCGATAAGTTCTTGGCCTTTGAGAGAGAAACCAAATCTCACACAGGAACCAAGTACAAGATTAAACAAAACCGTATCAGGCTTCATGACATTACTATTCCTTTTCGACAGTTCCATAAAACGATGACAAACCTGAACCAAATAATTCGAAGCTAAACAAGTCCCAACCTCTGTTTTCACCATATGCATCATTACAACCCTCACCACATCAGAAGTTAAGACAAACCCTTTCTCCAGCATTGTACGGAGAATGTTACAAGCGGATTCAGACATCTGAGCTCTCGCTAGAGACAGTGACAACTTAGTTAAAGCATCGACATTAATCAAACCTGAGTTCTGCTTTAAAGCTAAACGAGTCAGATCATCAGCCTTGCAAAGCCAATTGGAATCAGAGGAGTAAGAGAAGACAGTGACGAACCTGTTCATGATAACACTGTCGGGAAAACCGTAGAGACGTTTGTAATCTTTGAACACGTCCCACGCATCATCTACACGGTGGTCCTTGAGAGCTGTTTCGAGCTTCTTCTTGAGAATCACTTGTGAAGAAGCTTCCCAGGTTAGCTTAGCAGGTTGAACACTAGTGCTGCAGAACAGAGACGGTTTCGAAGATGTGCTGACTATGCGACTGAGATCGAATAGACGCAGCGAATCATGAATTGATTTCCTTTTCCTAAACATCAGATTAGATTTCGAATTCAGCAAAAGAAAGGATGCGAAGAATCCTAAATTGCTGGGAACTCGGAGTTGAGAGAGAAGACCGTAAATTTCTTTGAGTCTCCTAATACATTTGTAACTTTTAGTTTTTCTTTTAACGGTATAGGGCTCGTTAAAATCTTAAGTTTACAGTTTTAGCAGTTATTAGAATCATTTGGAGCAATCAGACCCACAATTATATAACATAACATATTTGCTTCTCTTTTGTGTAAAATATTTAATCTTTACAAATGTAAATGTACAAATTTACAAACTCATAAGCGTTTCCTATGTATATATGGCGTAGAGAATTGGTGATTTACGCTCTTGTTAGGCTCAAAAAACTAAGGATTTCAAAAATGTTCTGAGAAGAAAATAGGAACCCAGAAAATGAAAATACTACAATTGTCAAGAAAATAAAAATATATGATCTACTGTGTTTGCAAACAGTTGTGGACTACACCGATCAACTCAGAACTTGGTCTTGTTCTTTCTTGTGCGCTCCAACCTTTTTGTAAAACGGTTTTTGTTTCTTCAAGTGGCAATCTCGTCCACCTCCGAGTTAAAGATAAAGCTCGGAAACGTTGTTGTTATATCCCTGCATACATTTATATATGTTAAATGGTAGATTTTTCTGGCTTTTCATTTTTCATCTTCTCAAATTTTGTTTTGGTTCCCATGAAAGCTAGCCAGTTTGTAAAGTACCTGAGATATGGGAGTGTCATGATCTTAAGCAATGATGGGTTCTTGTTCACGAAATCACTCCACTCTAGTTTATCAATCTTTCCATCCTGATTCACGTCTGCATCTTCAAATGTCTGTTCATTAATGCAAAAAAAAAAGAAAGAAAGAAAGAGACTGAGCTTTAAACTTGAGCTCTAATGTTTAGCTTTGGAAAGACATAATCTTTACAATTAAGAAAGCACATACCTTATCTAGTATTATCTCTATGGTTTCATCAGCCAATTTCATTTCAGATTCACATAGAAGGGCGATCAACATTTGCTTGACCTGCAAATATATATAACACACAATAATGATTTTCGTTCACTGATTTTAAGTAAAGGATGAATTAATAAAAAACAGTTTTCCAACTCGGCAAAGATCTTTCATTATCAGTGTTCATAGCTTGAAGTTCTATAAACCAAAACAACAAGAGGGCTCTGGAACACTACAGGTATTCTGTTTCAAGTTTGGATACATGTAGGTGTTTACTCATGCACTTGAGAAATACTCGTAAATGCAAAAGAATGTACAATGAATATGTTTACCTCTTGTCGTTCAATGAAACCCGTACAGTCCATGTCGTAAAGCCTGAACGTAACTGAGGAAAAAACGTAGACCATAATCAATAAAACTCTCCACACAAAGGCTTCACGAAGAAAAAAAATATGAAAATAAACTCTCTTCATGTCAACTTACAATCTATTTTGTCTTCTAGAGAAGCGTTGGGGTGGAAAACATTGAGTGACCTTACAAAGTCCCCAAAATCAATAACTCCTTTTCGTTTAACATCAAACATATCAAATATCTGCAAGGGAGAATGATTTCTTAGTTTAATAGACATATTATTATTAACAATAGTACTTAGTGCAGATCACTTCAAGAAGAAGAAATTTGTTAAGCCTGAGGAACTTGGATTATACCCTGTTAGCAAAGATATTTTCCTTCTTCCGGTTCTTGAACAATGCAAGTTGAAACTCCTCCTGCATACACGTGAAAGGAGAATTAGAGGAAAAAATATATAAAGGTTAATAAAAAGTGGACCATGATAGCCTCAATATTGCACAAACAAAGTAATCTTAATATATTAAATACAAGTCAAACATTAAGGGCTATGATACATTGAATTAGTGGTGTAATATGGAACAGAGAGATAGTACTAGCATGGAGGGATCATTATTGTTGCTCTTAAAAATTTGTGAAAGTCAACAAAGTGGAATAATATTATAGGAGTAGATGAATAGAGTAAAGAGGAAAAAAAAAAGGATTACTACAGTGGGGTCATTAAAAGATCAAGATGGTGTCAAAGAAAAATAATTTATCAAAATCTTTATGTACCTTATTAATCAAACCATCATCAACAACGGAACTGCTTATGCTCTTGAACAGCTCAAACAATGCTTCAACCTCACTCACACTAACTGGAAAAGAGAAAAAATAAGCCACACTGCAAGATCAAACAAAATGTACCAGGAACCAAACACAAAGATTAATAATCCACTTTGCACATTGTTTACATGTTGACATAAAAAGCATGGCGTCAAAAACCATTCTTGAGGACTCTTGCATTAAAGTTAAGCGGTGATGAAACTATGGATTTGGTAACAACTAACAAGAAACATGTTGAAACTATGGAACTTGGATACAAGACTAGATGAATGAGCGGAGAAGGACAACATATAATTTAGCTGATGACAGGAAACAGATAAACATGCAAGGGAATGATATGTAGAGAGGAGAAATAAGTAACATACAGGCAGTCTCGGAGGCAAGCTTGACAGGGTCTTCGTGTCCACGGAATTCTCTTGCTACCTTTGAGTGGAAGCAGCCCATTTACAGAGATGCCAACAGACAGATTCTGAGGATGCTAAAAAGCTTGAATTGCTCCTGTTACTGCACATAATCACAAACATTTTGATATAATCATTTTCATATAATCAGTTTAAATAAAAGACCATTTTGATATAATCAGACCACCAATGTAATGTATAAATCACAACAAATGAAACGATGATTGTCTAGAATCTCAACAGCTTACAAAATTTTCCAAACGCAAAAAGATTCAAAGGTATACCAGGAAACACGATTCGAAAGCAGAAAGTAGAGAATCAAAGAAGGTAATGTAGGCACGTCCAGAATTCAACAGCAAATCACGAAAACAAAAAAAAGAAAAAGAAGAAAATTGTAAATAATCTCATAAGCGAAAACACTCACCACCAGCACCACCTAAGAGAACGGCTCGCCGCAGAGATCCAGAGAGAGAGGAGCGAGAAACAAGAAGAAAAAAAAAGAGAGAGAGAAGGCAGATGATCTGTGTAAGGGGATTGGTGAAGGTTGATGGCAAGCTGAATGATCGGACGGTTGAAATCAATTTACTACAGAAGCTGTGGGCTTTTTGTATGTTTTGTTTTGGTGGAAGAATTGAGAATCAACTAGCGGGCGGCTTTGTCTTATATTATAACAAGGGATGCGGCACATGTGAAGGTCGAAAGCGCGTGCGAGCCGAGTCAGTTTTGGAAGTTAATAGATCTTATTTCCAGTTTACCACACCTATAATTGATTTCTGTTACTTTTCCTTCTGTCCATTTTCTCTCTTTTGTCGTTTTTTCTTCTTTAATTACGTAAGCAAATACGATGATTATGTTCTGGAAATATATGTTGTTAATTAGTATAATGAAAAATTATTTGTGCGTGTATAAAAAATCCAGAAAAGAAAACACATTCATTGCTGTTGGGCAAGAAATTCAAAAGTTCGATTTTATCAAATAACCTATATCCTTCACATCCGGAAAATTCAAGCATTTAAATAGTCAAAATGGTACATCACGAGGAATATTCTGAATATACCAAACTCTGTATACTAATATTTTAAGATATTTATACTTGTTCCCGTGAATCATTCTACTACTTTTATATTTTCCACATAACGAATAAGATGGGGAGAATTTTAAGATTGGAGGTAAATGTAGAAACCGACAATTCTAAATTCGGGAACCATCACCTTTTCTTCAACCGATAGTAATGGAATGTGCTGTTTCCTGAGACGTGAGTGTTGGTGGTCAAGGTCAACCATCTTTTTTTTTTTGGGCTTATCCTTTTCCTTTTTTGCGTCTCTCTCTTTTTATCTCTTTTTTTTTTTATCAATTTATGTAATAACCCATTGAAAATATATAACCCAAAAATACAAGGAATTGTGAATAAATTTGGAAAAATTGTCTTTTTATACCAAAAATAGAGAAATTATGCTAATTTTTACTTTGTATTATTTTTGTCTATTATGCCTATTTTTACTTATGAAAATAAATAAAATAAAAAGTTTTACAACCCTAAAAAAAATTAGAAAAAATAAAAACATTTGTAGAAATACCTATACATTGAACTATTTTTATTTGGTTTTAAAAAAGTTTTAATATAAACTTTAGATTTCGTTCAACGAACTTGAAATGGAAAATAAAATCCATTTTTTTCTTCAATTCTACTAAGATTAGAATAAGACATTTACGTATCACAATAATCTAAAAATATTTGGAAGTCACATTATGCGGTTTGTCCTACATTCTAGAAAACATAGAATCTACTATATACACATTACTAAAAATCTAAAACATGCAGAAGTCAGTTTCAAACTTGTTAATTGTATTCTACATATTCGTAGACTTTGCTTCCAAACTCGTTAACTATATTCTACATATCCATAGACTTCGATTTCAAACTCGTTAGTTGTATTCTATATATAGTATAATGCATATTCTATGGATAAGTATGAATATTTCCAAAAATATGGGATTTTGTTTTCATATTTAAAAAAACAATTTTTTGAAAAAGTAAATTTTTCTTCTTTTATGTTAATGCTGATTGTAATAATAATATATTTTATTTTCATATTAAATATATTTTAAATATTTAATAAATGTAATTATGATACCACTGAAAAAAAATAGTTAGTCTAATGGGAAAATTAGTAAAGGAGATTAGTTTAAAGGGAAATTTTGGGAAAATGCACTGAAATGAGATTATAATTTGAACAGTATACCCTTATTTAAGTTTCTGGAGAAATATACTTATGTATATGTAAATTTATTTAATTTCCCAATCTTAATTATTTCTCAATTCTTAATATAATTTTTAAATGTTTAAATAAAAAGAAAAAACCGCTAGAGAAGCAACGTAATATTTTTTTAAATATTTGTTAGAGAATCTACAAAATATTTTCCCATACTGTGTAATAGGGAATAATATATAGAAGATGTCGATGTAGAAATTAAACATTAACCATATCATATTCAAAATAA